CTGCTTCGTTATGAATAGTATTTAATCTTTTAAAACAGACGTTGCCAAGCACGAGATTTAAATATGAAATATTAAAATATCTAAATCCAATAAATAAATAAATACAGTAATTTCTAATAGATGCATTTTCTATTTAACCAAGAAATCCTATCGTCCGACTGCCCTTAACTTCTAACTGACATGCATATCCGATGGATGGAGTTACGATGAGTTTCACCGAGCGGCTGATTAATGCATCGACGTGTGATTACATTTACTGGAAAGCATCGTAGCAGCACGTTGTGAATGCGAGGGAAGTTAATAGGACGGGTTGCCTTCCTCGTGAGATTTTCCCTGGCACGAATGTTTCACTGCGTGAGAGTCGGTGAGAGGAAAGCCGATTAATATTCACGACCGATCTCGGGACGCTAAGCCTTTATACGATGAAATTCCGCGCGTATGATTTCCTTGCGAAATTTAATTCGACCGATTTATCAGAGCGGAATTTTGTTCCTGTAGCTTTCCATCTACACGGAAAATATTAAAAGTCGTGAAAGTCATTGAAACAATCGAGAATTGTCTGTACGAAAAGATAACTCCGTTCGTATAATTTTCTCTTATGAAATACATTTCAAAAAATGTATCTCATGTCTCTTTGGATTCTCGAGGAAAATCCAGAAAAGCTTTCCGACGCGTTTCTACAAAAAAAGCAAGATCGTTACCGAGCAAGCTCGCGACCGCGGTTATAATTAGTGCGCGCAAGCGAAAAGGAATAAATAAGAAGTAAAAAGGGATCGATGGAAAAAGAGGAATGCATTTAACTCAGACGAGCCGCAAACCAGCGAATGCAATATCGCCTGCGAGCAAGATCGTTAAACTTTGCTAGTGTTTTTCTTGTTCCTGCGTTTAACCGCTCGCTCGTCAATTCGACAAAAATAAATAAACGAAGAAGGAAGCGACAGATTGCGATGATAAATTTTTATCTACGAAAAAAACGAATCTCTGAAAGTATGGCGTCGAAGTAAAAACTAAAAAAAAAAAAAACAAACTTTCTAGTTTAGATTTTTTCGGGAAAAAGGAATTGTTTCGAATGTGTTGGACTTTTATTTTCCTTTCACCAGATTTTAATCGATGCAAATAAATATGCATGAAGCACCTAGAGAGAGGTCTATAAAAAATTTTTACCTATGAAAATACAATCTCAAAAAATCAGTTCTCTTTAAAAAGTATAAAATCATCCGTTACTAATCTTTTTAATGTACAAACTGAAATGATTATTTTTAAAAGGTTCTTCTCTAGGAAGTACATTGCATTTCCTCGTGTAATTTAACTCAATTTAACGATGTTATTTATTTAACCGCAAGCGAAGTCGTTTAAGGAAATTCTTTAAGGAAATGGCGATTACATGAAAAGGTATGAGTTTTCTAATTATTTCATTTCCGAATACTTCTCAACGTTTAAGATGCGATATTTAAATAACTAAGCAATATTTCATATCTCCTTTTCTTCTTCTAAGTTTAAAATATAACATATAAAAATATTAAGAAATAAAAAAAAGATTTATATATTAATGTAAAAAAATATTTTTTTTAATATCTCATTAGAGACTAACTATTTTTAACAGATTCAAAATTGGTTAAACATTTATAAAAATTCTAAATGCCGTAAATTTTTGCTACGTTTGTATTCCGAAAACACAGCCTAATAGTCTGCCCATTCACGGCAAATTAAATGAAATTCGCAAAATTGACCGCGCGGTTTGAAGTTATTCTCGTTGGCAAGCTCGTTTAAAAAGTTCTAATTAAATGAAACAACAAATATAGAACTCCTTTTGCAGAATTTCGTCAGTGCGTAAAATTACGTTCACAACTCGATATAACTTGTATTTCGACTCTGAAAGTTGGCGACTCTGAAAACGTACAATCAAATTTAAACGTATTTCGGTTATTCGTGTTTCAAATTCTATAATTGCCCTTCTTCAAAATATAGTATTAATTCTTATATTAAAAAAAAAAAAGAATTTTATACAGATTTTTAATGAATTATTTTAAAGAATTTTAATTTCAATCTGTTATTTAAATTATCTGTTTTATTAATTTACTTGTAAAAATGTTTGTTAAATTTTAACATAATCCGAAACGTTAAATTTTAATTGACTAAAGTAAACAATTTTTTAATTTCCTGACGTACTAAGAATTTCTCTTCATTTCTTGTTTCAAACATTCTCGTTTGGCCTGAAATTTCTCAAAATGTAAATAAATTACTTGCCCCGGAACAAGATGAAATATTGTTATATACGAAACTCGAAGGCAAAGACAAATTTCGAGTTACCTCGACGGCGAAGCTTAAAGGACACAGGCAGGATTCTATATCCTTGCGAGTCGCCAGACTGGAAAGCAAACACTGTTCATCCGTGAATCGCGTCGTGATTACGGCAACGGAAAGGAAACCAGTTTCCTCGTCGCCGGGTACTTCTGACGATGAAAGGACTCTCCAGGACTCGATGCTTTCTCGAGGCGCATTCTTCTGTCACATCCGACGCCACCTTGCAGTTATGATAATTTGTCATCAACTACTCATCAGTGTTTTCTGAATAGTTGAAATTTGCAAACTTGAACAAATATTACATTTAGTTGTAGAAACAATGCCAATCGCATGATTTTCATCTCATTATATGTCTATCGATTGTAGATCGATCGATGATTTAAGAGGGTGAAGCCAGCTCGAATCGCATCTCGCAAAGACACCTTTAAAAAATTAACTACTTTCACCGATCTTTTTGCCGTTTAGTGTTTTTCAGTGTTCGCGCCATATAATATGTATATATCTATCCGTGTTGTGTGTCTGTATATATGTATATTTATATATACGTATATGTATATAGATATACGGGGCGTCCTAGAAGAGACGTATACCATTCCAAAGAGCTGGAATTAACTTGCAAAATTTTTTTTAGTACAATAAGTAATCTAACTATAACGAAGCAACGAAGTAAGAACTATTTAAGTAAATCATAATTTTTAACATCTCAACGAATAAAATTCATGTCTTCTTAATTCTCAAGTTTCTTAAAATCTTGATTTTTTAAAATGTAATTTTTGCATTAAAAAATTTTTAAAATTAAATTCTTTTGAAAATAAATGTACTTTTGTAATTCCTCGCTCCACAATCCGATTCTGGTATACACCGTTTTCAGAACATCCTGTACGTTCAACGGTCTCTGTACATCAGGTCGAGTGCCATCATGGCGCTCCTAATCTCACACAATTCGCCAGTCTTAAACACCAAGTTAACATTATTATCACTACAGCAGAATCGCTACAGTTGCATCTCCACTTTAAAACGCCAGGATCGAGAGGGTCCTCAATAGAAATAAAAATGACGTTTATTCTAAAAAAAAGTATAAAACAAAGTGCTCTACCGGGGAGAGTGCAAAGATGGCTTGAGCAGATTTCCGAGTCACGAGCACCCCGTATCACGTATCACGTGTGGGATATAACGCTGTGTAAACCATATCGGAGTAATCCAAGAGCCATTAAGAATATATCGAAGCGACCAGATCATATCAATCATAACACGTTAAAAAAACAACAATAAATTATATATTTTTTGATATAATGATATCAAATCTGCAACACAATTTTTTTAAATAATTATGTTACAAGAGATAGAGCAAATAATATATAAAAGTTCTCACAAATATCCATATGTATAATTAACAAGGACAGTCTCCTTTTTATTATTATTTTACATCCATACCGTTCGTTCATTTCGCGGTTTATAGCGAACTTTGTCAGTCGCGGGATCAACATGAACAATTAAATTTAATTAATTTCACATTTTCGTAGCGGATTCCGTCGGAGGAGCCCCGCTTTGAGCACCAATCACGTTCTTGTTCGCGATGCTGAAAGCGCGCCTTCGAGGTCCATGAGGCGCGTTTCACTCGATCGAGTCCGCCAAACATTTATCTATCACTTTAAGGATCAGTCACGCCATCTTGGTTCCTTTTCAACGCGACCGAACGACGTTTCTCCTTGGATCGTGTCCAAAAGACGTCGTCGTATTTCACAAGCGCGACACGCCGTTTAAATAAATCCGGTCGCCATTTTGGTGTCCGAAAAAGCACTCTCCGCATTTAAACGCGATCCGCGTAAATTTTTCGGAGTCGATTTCCCTCGAATACGTGAATGCAAAAATCACCGCGTTCTATAAGCGAACATCTCTACCATCCTTCCCGGCTCTGACAAGGACTGCGCACCACAGCGACATTCGAGACATGCCTTCTGATTAATCTATTACGTCTCCATCGCCAGGACGAGTCCTTTGTTCGTGCCGTCTCGGGTGGCCCTGTTCCGCCAATCACATCCTGGACCCTGTTATTCTCCACGAATTAATCTGGTAGTATGACGAGGACAGATTTCCTTCTTGATATCTCGTTGTTCGCTTAGGTCTTTATGCTTGACGCATGGAAGAAGATTATAAAAACTATTCGCAAATTTTTATGCAAATATAAATGTCGTTATTTTATTTACTGGATCAATATGTTGAGCAAAAAAATGAGGACAGATTTTGCCTCTTGACTGTAATTTCATCAGAAACACATATGAAAATGTACACACAAAGATGATGAATTTCTATTCTTAAATAAATGTTTTATGAACCGGCTAAACTAATCTAAAGATATTCAAATATTTATGCAACGTATATAATAAATTCTCAAAATTAAATTATTGTCGCAAGATAAAATCCTTTTTAGCAGAAATTAGGTAATAAATAATAATTACATGGTATAACATACTTTGAAGAAAGTTTGTATGATGTCATAAAAATGAGATCACTTCCATAAAAAAAATGTTAATCGTATTATATTTTCCCCCCAAAAAAACAATCAATCCGATCCTTTTTTTTTTCAAAATAGACCCAGTAAATAAAAAATAAGAATAAACTTGAAAAAACAAATGATACATTAATTTTATTCACAGTTTAGGAATTTTATTCAGATCCAGGATGTACTTCCCGCACTTCTCAGATCCGACAATTAAACTCTTGTCCGGTTCGGATTCCTCATACATCCATAGCGTCCCCTACGTAGCCTTCATCAGGACTTTCCGGATGATTCGGAGGTTGCAGCTCCTCCGCTCTCGCGGCAGCTGCAGCCGCGGCCTCGCGAGCAGTTTTGCCGAGAAGGGACCGCGGCGATAACGGAGTGGTTTCGCCTCTATAAGCCGCAGGAGGTGATGGTATGAAGGGTACTTCTGGAAAAACAGCAACTGGCGATACTGGCGACTGAATGGGCAGTTGCTGTTGAATCGGTTGCTCGACCGGTTGAATTGATAGTGATGGCTGTATTGTCTGTGATTGCGACTGTTGCTGCTGTTGTTGCTGTTGATGCTGATGCTGATGTTGATGCTGATGTTGATGCTGATGCACCGGATAAGGATAACCCTCGGCGGTGTACCTAGCATCGGTTCGCGGTAAAATGGGATCATATCCCGGTGATCTTGCGAGGAATTCCGCCTCGCGCGAATATCTGGCCGCCGGCGCAGCCGCCGAGCCTGGCTCCGTCATACGTTGTCGGAGTCTAGGCAAAGTGCTAGCAGTACTAAAGGTGATCTTAGGCAGGCCAAAATTGAGCGGATAGCCATCCTGATCCAAATAACTCATCTGTGGTAGCACCGGTGGCGGCCGCAGATCGGGCTGCAATGGATAGCCCGAGTCGTAATCCAAGACCTGCCGGTCAACGCCACCGACACGCTGATGATGCCGTCCGTACAACTGCCCATAGCCCACCTCGGAGTTCTCGGGTACTTCATTGATTAAATCAGGTTCGGTTAAATACTTGGCAACTGGACTCGCTACTGAATATGCATCTCGATCTAAGTGATTACTCCTGGTGTGTTCCCGACGTTCCAAAGTAGCCGCACGGTTGATCTCACGTTCGGTGTATGAGACCATCTGCTGATGTTCAAGACCTCCGATCAGACTACCGTTACCTTTCCGACAGGAAATGCTAGTAGTATCCTTCGTGATTGGTAGAACCGACTTGCTCTGCGTCACCAACGCTTTCGAATTGCGCTTCCGATCGCGACGACGCTTCTTCGCACAGTATATCACGCTACCCACTAAACAGCTCATTGCCAAAAGGGTGCCTACCAATGCGCCAGCAACAATTGCGGCTACATAACCGGAACCAGGATTGTCGGAGGGTGGCTCTACAGTGGGTTTCTCGCGAAAGAGCACACGAAGAGAAAGATTTGCCACCGCAGAACCCGCGCTGTTTTCTGCGATACAGCTGTAGGTGCCCTCGTCGAGCGACTCGACCGAGTAGAGGAACAGCGAGCTGCTCATGTTGGTCCCGCCTCGTTGTCGGTAGATGTACCTAAAATAGATGTAGAGAAACACGTTTCGAAACAAAAGAAACATGGATAAAGTTTTGTTAAAGATCTATAATAGAGGTTGGAAATTCGCTTACCTTGGAAATGTAGAAATACTGCTAGCCATCGAATTGTTTTCGTGTTGCAGCTCGCATGGTTCTCCATTGAACCACCAAGTGACCTTAGCAGTCGGAACCGCATGAACATCGCATCTTAAAGTGATATTCCCGCCCTCGTAAATCTCTAAATGATCTTGAAGATCGATACGCGGTAGACAGGCTAATTCATTGATCTTAAGACTCTTGATTTGTTTGCCATGTAGTCTCGCCGGGGAATCGCAGATAGGTTCGGACTCTTGCGGCGCTGCTGGGGCTGATTCCTTCAACCAGGCCTGCATTATTCTCAGTCTACAGTCACACTGCCACGGATTGTTGTGAAGAGTCAATCCTCTGAGATTTCCTCCCAGCGGTAGAGTGTGATCTGGCACGTAGGTGAGTCGATTGCCGTCCAATCGAAGCCACTCTAGCGACTGGAGGCCCTCAAAAGCGTTCTGCTCGATAATCTCTATCGCGCACTTACTGATCTCCAAATTAGTAAGATGCACCAAACGAAGAAATGCGTTTTGGCGAATTTCCCTGATTGGGTTCCCATTCAATATAAGCCTCATTAAACTTGGATAGGACGCAAAGGTATCCGTAGGCACCTGTTCGATCTGATTCTCGGACAGATCGAGCTCTACTAGGCCGACCAGACCGACGAACGCCTCAGAGGCAATCTGATTAATTCGAGATTTGCCCAGATAGAGCCGTTGAAGGTTGATCAAACCAAGGGCGCGGAAGCATTCCGCTGGTAAGTTGACCAGATGATTGCCTGACAGGTCGAGCACCTGCGTCTCCTCTCGGGCACCCTGCGGTAATCCTTTGAGATCACGGTTCGCACATTCAACCCATTCCTTCCCGCCTTTCCACTTGCACGCACACATGCTCGGGCAGTCCTCCGCCGCGTTTGTTCCCCAGGACAATAGCAGCAACATCGTGCTGAAGAGGGCAGCCCTCCAACGCCAGACCAGTACGATCGAGCACATGGTGCTCTCTCATCAGGCAACAAACCCTCCCGTTTTCTTCCTCGTCCTCTCGTGGTCGAATCCCTCCGTTCCTATCGCATTTTTCGCTAACCCACCACCACGACGTGCGCTAGCCCTTCAGCGTTGCTGAAGAGAGACTGCGGTGCTTCGATCGAATCGATGCAGAGGTGAGTGCACGACTGCTTGCGAGGTCATCAGCTCGCAAAATACCGAGAGGTGGATCTCTGCAACAATAACACAAACAAGTAGATAAATAACAATGCACTTTGGATGAAATAAATGATTACAATTATACGCGAGCTCGGATCCAAAATACTTTGCAGAAGACTCATTACGAGAGTTCACAGACCGAATAATTTTACTAAATTAAAAATTAACTCACACCGAGATAGATCCGAATAGTTAGATCTTAAAAGCGCTCGTAAATGTAAGTTGTTTCGAGAAAGCCATTTTTGCGTGTAAAATTTTTATCAGCTTCATGTACCGACGATAATCGATTACAAGATTTTGTTCTCTTGAAGATTTTTCCGCGAACGAAAGGACTATTAGGAGTCTTCGACTGGATCAAAGCTTCTTTCAAGAAAGTCTCGTCGAAAAACAGCCACCATTGCGGTATGGAAACTGCCGAATCCTCAGTAAGGTGATCCTCGAGGGTTTTCAGCGTAGAGAGGGGAGAGGGGGCGGGAGTGCACAGAGCGCAGGTTGAGAGCGGATAATAAATTCCATGAAGAGGGTGTATATCCCGGAGAGGAGGCGAGGATGTCGCGAGGAGAAACACTCCCCATATCAGGATATCGGAATATCGAACGCGTTCGTGCAGCGTGGCATGCAAACCTTCCACTCCACTCCACTCCTCTCGTGGCTTTATCCCGAAGATGCCCGGTGAGAGGAAACCTTTCTCCATCGAGGAATGCAAAGAGAAGAGGCCTGAAGGATATTGCCGATCTCGTACGTTTCGAATCCAATATCAACTGACCCTCGTCGTAGTCACCGCGTGAGTTGCAATTTTTTCTATTGCGTCTTTAAAATCGCTGTCGAAAGCGGCATCGGAAAACGCAAACCGCGCAGATACTACTATCGACGCACTAGACAGTTCTCGTAATATCGTGTTGGATATAATTTGTACTATCGAATTTACTACATATTTAAGTTTAATTGCGACTACTGCACAAATATATATAGATAAAATATAAACTGGAAACATGCCTAAGATACCAATTTCTTTGTAATTTATACAAAATTGATTCAATATGTAATATATATTAGATATCTGATGTACATATATGTGTGCTCGTATGCGCGCTGTATATATTATATAATTATAAGATCACTGATTTTGTGAATCTATAAAATTATCCTGTATGTAAATTCAAATTACGATTATTTTGTCGGATCACGTTCTTTTCAATACGTGCTTGCAAATTACCGTCGAGCTACTTTCTGCCTCTATGCATACCTGATGCTGTGTAAACGCAAACTCGCATAAATGGCGAAACAACGCGCGCGGAAAAATGTGAGAAGACATAAAAAACGATGATATGCGACACGGAAGATTCATTCTTTCACGTTCATTCGCATTCGTTTCTTCATCCCACTTTTTTGTGCTCGCCTTCGAAATCGGGGTCTCGTTTAGTCGGCAAACGTTTTCATCGGGACACGAAGTGTCGAACCCGGAGGGTTGAAAATAGCCCCCGGTAAACCATCGGTGTTCGCTTTGGGCGCGTGAAGGAGAGCCCTTAATTTTAAAGGCGCTCCTTTAAAATTGTACCGGCGTCTCGTGGCCAGCAGTAAATATCGAATGCGAAACGAAGGAATACGCTTCTTTTTCCATCGCTCGAAATGGAAATGAGGACCGAAAATGAAAAAGTCGAGTATCGAGCGAAGGTTTGGGTAGACGCATTTTAGTAATGCATTTAAACTTTTCAACGGACGGTTTTCCTTCGGATAAAAAAAATTTAATATTCTATACCAATTTATTTACGCAAGACTCGTTTCTCGTATTAACTTCAATAAAAACATCATTCGTTTTTGGAAAAAAAAAACATACTAAGCGAATAATTTTAACAGATTTTTAAGAATAGGTTAAATGACACCTTCGATCGTTAAAACCGTAACGATAATGTCTCATTAAATGCAACAATCATGCCGAGGTATTTTAGTAATTGTCGTCACTATTCTGGCGAGAGGAAATATTCGCAAAATGCTCTCGAAGAAATGCTTTTCGCTGGCAAAATGGAAACGAGGCGAAAGAGACGAAAAGCTAAACAGCACTGAAAGCATCCATCCGAGATGGTAAATCGTCATTTTAAATAATTTTAAATGTTATGTTATCAGCAGAGGAGTAATCCGAATAATACATTTGTGACAATTGAAACGTACGCATTAACTTAAAAATCTTAAATTGAAATCTTGAAATGTTCTCTTATATTTGCGCACAATGAAATGGAAGTGATTATCAATAGCCCGCGCATCACTTTTTCTGAAATTGTTTCATAGGGGATAAACTTGAATTTTTTAACAATTTGAAATTGACACATAAAATACATTAATTTTGCAATGCTAAAACTATCTATATATATTATAAATCAATAACTAAATAATTAATACGCAAATAACCACAGCAAATCAATTTTAACAACTATTGTACGATTACACTGTGACATTTACAACTAATGAATAGTCGAGCGACTATCGATTATGGTAGGGTATCTCTCGGAGAACCGTCACGTCACGTGTGAAACACGGCGGGAATAATTTAATTGACATCGACCCCCGTTTAATTACCGAGAAACAAGGGGGTTGCGCGACCAAAGAGAACAGATAGTGAGAAAGATGAAGAGAGTGAGAAAGGATTGAACAAGAAAGGGAATGGGAAATAGGAAGAGAGAGAAAGAGAAAGAAAGTACGAAAATGTTTTTGAATATTATTTGAATCCTATATGAAAGAATTAAAATATTACTTTTTAGACCGAATTCGGTATTTTCGTCTTCGACTTAGGAACGCAGCAGAAAGCCACAAGGACAAGAATTTTCGCCAATCTTTTCATCGATTATCTCCAACCAATCGAGAACATTTAAGATCGGATAAATATATTTAATTACTTGTTCAGAAGATGTGTTGAGAAATCAATTTATCGACAATTAATAACCAAGAAAATAATAAAAGAAGTAAAAATATTTATACGGATATTCTCGATTGTATTTTATCCTTTCAAGTTACAAGAGCTATGCTGAGCCGCACTATTTTTATTTTATAAACGCTTTAGAAAACAGAAATTGTAAAACTTAATATAATAACGTAATAAATTTAATATCAAGTGTTATACGAGAAAATACAACGGCTGAAATAAAAATTGCGATATCTTGTGCGCGATTGTTCTTTAAAGTTCCTTGAGATCGAGACTCTTCCGTCTCCTCAAGCATGTTCGGAACCCCTTCGCTTTCTTATTCCAGCCTCTTCAGGCAGGGTAAAGGCAAGCAGTCTTTGGTACCTTCATTCTCGACTTACAGCGCGACTTACAAAGGCTTGAGATCGATTAGGCGAGTATCGAGAACAGCCCCTTCCCGACTCAACCTCGTGATCGTGAAAGTAAGTTAGCAGATAGGTAAATTTGTCGATACAATTAAATATTGATCAAAAATACATAAGAAAAAATTGAGACAGAATAGAATACGCTTTATATCCTTTCACAATAGCTCCGCAAATGTTATCGAGAAAGATTCGAAATTAAAGATTAGTATATGTATATCATATTATAAATATTTTCAAAAATTAAAATTTATGTGTCTGCAAAAGTGGAGTTATAACATTTTTAGTTATATGTTACCTATTATAATGTTTGTTCTACATCATACCAACTGTATGTCTTGGCTACTAAATTTAAAATTGTTTTAATTGTGGAGCCTGATAAAGTACATTCTCGCTACTGTTTGTTCTTTATTTATAACCAGAAGAGAAGTAATGTTGTTATTTATTTATAATCAGAAGAAGAGTAAGAGGTACCATGAGGATTATACGTAAAACTTATGGCGAATTTACTGTTTCTGAAAGTTTGTGTCATAAATGATTTAAGATAGTCCTGACGGTACTAATTTTTGTAAAACTGCGTCTGTTCAATATTAAATTTGATAGCCAAGAAATAGAGTTGATATGATGCAGGGCATCCAGTATTATAATAACATATAACTAAAAATATTACAATAAATTCTAGCAACAATTAACTATGACTTTAAGAATTTTTAAACATCTAATAGTAAAGTCTCTGAGAAGAGATTATATAATAAAATGCAATCAAGCGCGTAAGTTTTTATAAATTATATAAGATGTTTCAGAAAATATTCTACATCCATTACATAAGTAACTGTACACTAGCTGTTATATGAGTTTTTATAAATTATATAAGATGTTTCAGAAAATATTCTACATCCGTTACATAAGTAACTGCGTACACTAGCTGTTATGAATTATCTTTCATTTAAATTGCGAAAATATGCCGAATGACTTTTCCGCTACTAAAACATCGGCCATATTAATTCAATTAACTACGATTAGCTTTTATTTCTTTTAGAGTAGTGGAGCACCGAACGATAGGGAATTGTATTTTAATGTCATTCGAATCCGACCTAATCGATCCTTCAAGAGTATCAGAATCGAAAGACACTTCATCTTCAGCTTATAATGTAATAAGTCTATGATAATACGGCAGAGAAAAGAAATAAAATCATATCGACAAGTATACCGCACTTAATTAACTTATTTAATATCGATCTTTTAGTTTCATTATTCGAGCTAAAAAAGCTCATAACGTTACATAACTTATTCGAGCTAAAAAGCTCATTATTCGAGCTAAAAAGTTCATAACGTTACATAACTTGAGTCATGCATATTTAAGTCGTGTATGCTGTATATTTTTTTGTATGTGCTATATTGTAAACATTTTTATTTTAAAAAGCACAACAGACATTCCATAATTTTTATTTTTATTTTCTTTTGGAACTCAATAAAGTAACTTCCATTACATGATGCACGAGAATACGCATATCCGGACTTTTTCCTTCCTTTCTCGTTAACACGAAGCCGCTTCAACGAAGTGTAGAATTACTGAGCGTCACGATCGATCAGTCACAAATCGAACAGCGAATTTGATCCTTA